TTATATATTATATCATATTATATATATTATATTATATATATTCTATATATTATAATTAATATGTAGAAGTCTGTGCGTGATGCACATATTCATGCAACACCAAATATTTTATATTATTGCATGACGCTATCTGCTTCTATATAAATATGGATATAAATTAATGAAAAAAATAATAATAAATAACCTTTTACTTATCAGTAATAAGAATGTCAAAAATATTTGTAACTTGCATTTCTTTCTTAAATTGTATTCTCTGATGATTCGCTGTTACTATTACTGTTGCTCATAGAGGAGTTTCTAATCAATTGTGGCAATTCAAAATGACACTTTGAATCTATATCTATATTAAATCCGGCTGTTTTATAATTTTGCAAAGGTGGCCTTGCTTTAATACCTAAAGTTGTAGGTCGCTTAGCAGGATCTTCATCCAACATCATGTGGAGCAAATTGTACTGTAATAAATAAAGTTATTTATTATATTTTAGTTGTAATACGTAATACACATGCACAGTTCTAATTAATCTTATAGTAAAATAATACATTCTGTTGACTGTCTTACCTCAGCAGAATAATTCTCTGCAAAGTCCTTTGGAAAAATAGATTTTTTCAAATTTGAAAGCGCAGCTATTCTTTCCATATCAGTAAAAAATGGTATAAGAAGCTCAAAGAAAATTATTCCTAAAGAATAAATATCTACTTTGTAGTTGTACATTTGGCCATTAATTTGTTCTGGTGACATATACAAGTGTGTGCCAACACATGCAGTATGTATATTATTTTTTAAAGTGACATTCTCATTTTCGGCTGAAGGTGTATGAGCGCCATCACAGCTCTCAGTCATTGCCGTTACAAGGCCAAAATCGCCGATCTTTATTTTATCATCATAAGCAAAAAATATATTTGATGGCTATAAAAAAAAAAACGAATTTTATTACAAAATAGAATATTACTAAATAGAAAATTTGTATCATCTATATCTCAGGTCAAGATATTACCTTTAAATCTCGATGAATTAACCCTTGCAAATGCACATATTCTACAGCATCTATTATTTGCTGAAAAATATTTAATACTCGAATGGAATCTCTTGTTGATGTGTGCTGCTTTAGCCATTCCCTGAGACTGAGTCTTTGACACAGTTGCATTTGTATATATAAGAACATTTTTGCCGATTTGTGATTATTCGATTTATTATATAAATTTAAAGAAAAAGACTTTTGACGTTTGTGTTTTTTCTTTTCTACCATAATATTATTATCAGTCTCTTCAAACACAATACTTTCGGAATGATCGGTATAATTAATATTTGGTAATTCCTTTTCAAGTTCATTATTTGAAAAAGATATGTCCGAACTATCAGTACTACAACCATTAGTACAAAATGCATCGTTGTCATGATGCTTCTCATCTGACTTTTCAAATACAACAAGTGAATCGTCGTCCACATCTACATTATTTAATTCAAAAGCTTCGTGGGCACTATCTACAGAAGGATCGGTTTGAGAAATATCGATGCATACAGAATCATTAGGTTTTGTTTCAGTCTGAGTTACTTCTGAAGGGAATGCAGACGACGAAAATTTTAGCTTATTAATCCATTGTTGATCATGTCCCTCTTGCCATCCACTAGGAGGGCACTCCAGCCAAGCATTAAAGTATCTTACAATATTGTGATGATCTAATTTAGCTAATGCTTTTACTTCCCTCATTACGCGCTCTCTTGAATCTCGGCTGAAATACAGCATTTCTTTTATAAAATTCTTGCTTAATTAAAATTCTACTCTTATGAATGTATCATTTATCTATAAATGTAACTAGGTGCTAATTGCACATTCCGCAAATTTAGAAGGATTATTAGAAAATGATAGCATAAATTTATAATTTTAAACAAAACATGTTGCTAAGCACATCAATATAATAAAAAAACGCACAATTATTTTTTTAAATATTTTCAGAAATAAAATTACTGTAACATAAATAATATAATTGTGCAAAGTTGAAAACATATAGACATTTACATAAATATATCAAAAATTTTTTACAATATTTATATTTTCAAAATTTAATTACTTATTTATGTACTTAATATTCTCTGTCTTGCTTTCTTATATTAATAATTGTGTTATTATTTAACAATACATATTTTTGACTATATATTTATTAACCATGCTTATATATTTTTTATATTTATTCAAATTTATATATTGCAAAGGTCTCAAAAAGTTTTGTGTCAAAAAACATATAATTCTTTGTACTATTTAAATTCCATTTAATAATATGTACTGCTTATGGCAAAGAAAAGAATAATTTATTAAAAACTTACCTATTTGGCAAAGCAATTCTCTTGATAGCATAATTGCAATCATCAATTTTATTTTTGGCCTCAAAGACAACACCGTAGCCTCCCATTCCCAAGCAATCAATTGGCTCAAAATCCGTTAAATAACGCGATTTAAAATTACTCACATTCTCGTCGCCATCGTTAGATGAATCATTTCTTTTGGTTTCTACATGTCTTTCTACTATTAAAGGCTGAAATGTAATATTTATTTTAGATAACTCTAAATGAAGTAAAGGAAAAATATAGATCAAATAAAAAATATCAAAATGAAAAAAAAGATAACAGAAAGATTTAATTAATTCTACATGTAGTAAAAGATTATAGATTTACTTACTGGAAGTATAGCATCCTTAGTAGCAACTGTCGTTGCACTTAAGAAATGTTGTGTTAGCATAAAATTCAACAAAATGGCAGTTGTAATTGATATTATTAAAACTTCTTTCCTAATAATAATATAATATTAAGTTGTAAATTGTCATTTTGTATATATATGCATAAGTATAAAAAATTATTAGAACTTAAAAAAAAAGAAGAACTTACCACCAATACCAAAGCGATACTATAATAATTTGAACAGGTGTATTGGTTTCCTCTTCGATTATGTGTTCTTTCATGTTAGTGCTAATATTATTCTTTGTAATATTATTTTTAATATTACATTGTTCATTGTCAATTAACTGTTCTGTTGAATACAGAAAAAATCCATTACCTACAAAAAAATTACACAATCATAAATTTGTTTAAATCTATAATTACTCTAGCTATATTTTTTATTAAATTATTTTTATATAACTAAATTTTATTATAATTATATTTATGCAATCATACATCAATAATTTTAAAGATACTGACACATTTAAAGACATTATTTACCATTAATATATTCTGAATTATATAATACAGACAATGCAGTTGTCCTGTATACTTCATTTATCTCAACAGAAACTTCATTATTGTTATTTTCATTCAGAAAATTACTCGCAAGGGATGTAACTGAAATTATAGTTTATATATAGGCATTAATAATAAATATTATTTTTTTTTTAATGTAAAATAAAATATGTTAAGTTTCATTTACATACCATCTGCTGGATGCGGTTGCCAGAAATATTTCTTATTTATAACATTCTTGGGAGACAAATCCAATGAATTTTCAAGATTGGGATTTTCTTGCACATATAATTGTCTTTCATGCATGCCTAAATATAAACTTGAACTTGTAGGATATGCAGATCTCCAGATCCATTGAGAATCATTAAATAAATTAATTTGTTTCAAATAATTAATTTGTTTCTTGTTTCCTAAATTTTCTTGATTTATAAAAGTTTTGGACGTGTCTTCATGCCATATTGAAACAATTGGAACATCAAACTAATAAAAATAAAATCCTTTTATCATTTTACACAATAAAATTACAATTGTTATACTAACCTGATATTGCCATAATATAACAGTAGGATTATTCTTATTAATAGCCCAAACCAAACCTTTTGAAATAACCGCTTTGATTTCTATATCTGGCACTATATTAAGGCAATCATTTATATGACGGTGTAACTTTAGATTAAGTTGCCCAACACTGAAGTTCCATCTTCAACCAATGATATTATTTTGTTAGCTATTGGTATATATTCTATTTTCTTATTAAGTATATGATTGTATATGTAGTATAGAATATATAATATGTAGTATAGAATATATAATATAATTATATAATATATAATGCAAAAAAATATAACATAATTTATTTCGGTTTACCTTTCATTACCTGTATGAGCTTCTATAGCTCGTATAGTTTGTTGAAAACGGCGAATGATAAGTACATCATATTCAATATGTCCTTCAGGGTCTGTATTGTTCTTACATTCCCTAACTTTACATTCATATAAAACTCTTCCTGTGCTGGGTGATACACCTATTATAGAATGCTTAATAAATGCTTATTATTTATATAATATGAACAATGAATTTTTAAGTATGCAAAATAGTTTTTCAAAAATTAATTATAAATTTTTGTTGACAAATATCAAAGTTTTATATTAATTATATACAAGATCTGTGAAAACTATTCTTGTATAATCAAAGTTTCTTGGATCAATTTAAAATAATTTTTTTTTTTTTTT